GAAAGTACATGGTTTAGTGACTACCTCTATATTTTTAAATTTTAGAATTATATATATATACCTCGTACATCCATCCTTCAGTATACCTCGTATATATATATATATTTCGTACAATGAACCTACTTCTACCAGGTTATCATAGTTCATCGTCCCAAATAGCCAAACTCATCAAACTGAACTTTGTTGTGTTTTCGTAATTTATGTAAGTAATAACTAATAAGAAAAAAAACATCTAGCTGTTCGTTAGCATATTAAAATATGGTGGATTTTGAAAATATTTACTAATTTATCCATTGCCGTATTTTGTTTATTTATATAGATATAAACCACACGTATAATTTGTATTATATTGCGTCAAAGCGGTTAATCGAACAAAAACCTGTATGTCATGATACGATCACGTGATTTGAGTTAACCTCGTTTTCAATTTTGTCACAGCGATACGCTTTGTAGGTGTTTGAGAGGTGAATCGTGTCTAGATATGAAGACACGCCGGTATCACGCGTACTCTTGTTGAATATGGGAGTCAGTAGCACGTGTGAGTTGCTGTAGTCCCTGCCTGATAATTCTTAAAAGCAACGCTTTATTAAATGTATAATATTATACAGAAAGGCGAATTGAAAAGTGAATGTAGCCCCGTCTATGCCATACAAATCACGAAAGCGCATCTTGCTTTCTGTCCTTGACGCATGCATCATCATCTTGTAATTGGACATCTCGAGCGATGAACTATGTTACCCCGATTGAGCTACTGAATATGAGTTCATTGTACGAGCTGTATTCACACATTGTCAGCACCTGTATCTCATTCTGTATAAAGCCTCGCATCCATCCTGCAGTATTAATCATGATAGCTAGCACTCACGACTGACTACAGAGCATTCGCCGATTGCCATTTTAAAAAGGCAATAGACTGGACTAAATCTAAATAAACGGTAGGCATACAATATATGTATGGTGTAAAGCACGTTGTCCATGTAGTGATTTTGTATGATGAATAATTGTTATTTAACTCGCAATGTCCTTTTTCAAGTGCGTATTTGTTTTGAGTAATTACGGAATTGTTTTAAAAAAACTTCCCTTAGAGTTAATTCAAATATATTATTCATAATAACACGTTTGTAGCTCATTTGCAATCAATCGATAAAAAATACTGATTGATCCATGAAACCTACATCATGTATTCAAAACCTGCTCTTTGTGTCTTTGATAACGATCTGACACATAACGTCCGAATACTACCATATATGCATAGTTAATTAGGTAAGAGAACAAGAAATTTGCTATTCGTGCTATCGACTATTCAGCAGGTTATAAATCCCTTAAGGCGGGAGGGTCGTCACCTGCGCAAGCGCGGGAATTGAGTCCCAAGCAACGATAACAATACATGCTAAAAACGAAAAGGCTCATGGATAGACGCTTGTTTGTAAACAATGACATGCTATGGTCATCTGACGCATGCGCAGGTAACGACTCCCCCCCCCCCTTTAACAATAAATGCGTGTGTACATCATATGCAACTGAAATGGTGGATGGGCACAAGAGGGTCAGGGTTAGGTTTAGAGTTATGGGTGAGGGGGCAACCATATTGCTTAATTTGTTTGCATTGTTATATGCTCTAACTTTCAAGGTGAACAATGTTGAATGTGAATTAGTATGCCAATTAGAAACCAATAAGAATGTGTGGGTTTATAAGTATGAACCCCTAGTGACCTAAATTATTTTCTCTGCACAGCTATGACGGTAGGTTAAATTGCATAAATACAAAAACATATATCGTATGCTCTGCTATTTGATAATGACAATTCATTGCAACTGTGTGACAAATGAAATGACAATTCGAAAGCGTCCAGTTCTAGAAAACGGCCATCAGAATCCGTAATCCGTGGTTTCATATCAAACCCTTGGTCAACGTTCGGTAAATGTCTGATGCCGGACTTTGTTTTGTTGTAGTTGTCATCATATATCACTATCAGCCCATTAACAGAATAGTAGTCAGTTCGCGTCTGTAACTCTGTGTATTTTCCCCCGTACTACGCCCAATGAGTATAAGACTTGTATTTGGTGATTGTCACGAGGTCATTGTTTGACTATATCTGGGTTAAAACATCAAAGAACTACCTAACGCGGTTAAAGAGATATAACGCTCGAACCAAATAACTGCGAAATGCCCAATTATAATGAAATATTGCTGTTACAAATAGTTGATACTCGTTATGAGAATGTCAAAAATCTGTCGCTGTCGCTGGAAATATTTGTACAATTATTAAATACTTCTAAACTACCTTCCGTTCTCTAAACATTGAAGACTTTTACTTATCTCGTGTTTGGCAAGTGGCTTCAAATAAACAAGAAATGGGGCTGTGTTTCTTAAGACTTTCACTAAAAGTCGAATATATCACTTTCTCGTGTCTTTTTTTTATTTGTATTACACATGAACATTAACGAGCTCATCCATTACCAGAAATGGGAACCACTAGATAATTTGCTAGATATTGAACAAATATAATTATATGTTATATATACCAGATTAAATATGTATCTGCATTTATTCATTTTTATTCTTTGTTAATTTTCTTTCCCGTGTCTCCCCTTATATCACTATGTAATATTTTCTGTATTGTATGTTTATATTATTCAGAAAACGAAATAAAAACGTTATTTAAATATAAAAAAATGAACATATTGATTAACACAATGTTCAAGACAGGTTAGCGCCGAGTAATATGACCACCCCGGAGATTCAGCCGATGATACGATAGCAATATGTTTATTTACAAGTAAGTTTTGCACACTTCAGAAACAACACAGTTTCATTCAGCATACAGGCTCATGCCATCCACGTAGATCGTTCTTAACTAACTACAAGGCAATCGCCGAAGTCTCCATCGAAAAACTGGTCGATTTTAAAAAGGCGACAGACTGAATTTAAATTGGACATGCATTGTTCTGAAGGCGTTGAACACAACGCATATATTTATGGATAGGGGGTAATTCAAATATTTCAAAATATTGTGTTTTTCTAAGTAAAATATTGTAAGCAAGGGAACTTTGTTCATAATGTAATTAGCGTAGGAGGGCCGGTATTATACATTTCATATCCAGGAAGGGGTGTTACACAAAATCAAAGAGACAAAATTGTGCCAACCAACGTCTCCGGGGTGGGGGGGGGGTATGGAGAACGTTTAGGTCAACAAGGAAATGTTCAAAATCGTGTAGACATACAGAAGGGTCTTTTGACAATTTGTAATGAGGGAATTATAATCAATAGATTTGACGAATCAGAGGCCGGTAAAGTACGTATTGTACAAGAACATTTTGTGGAATTCTTCACTGTAAATAACTATTGAATTGCTTTTGTTTGTTTGGTAAATGACATCAGGTGAACTGTAGTATGTATAACAGTTGATGAACGAGTCTGTTCATGTTAGTATTTGATCCTCTCTATTTCAACACTACCGCACTAAACACTGGGCACTACACGTTACGAATCACAGTGATTAGAATATTACAATTACTTCGAAATGTAAATTCAAATTTACGCACGCACATTGTTACCAGTATGTTGCGTTGTGATGTCAGAATGTATGTGCGCCACCAACGGTATCGTATTTGATAATCAAGCCTATTTTTAATATTTGCGATACACATGAATGTGGTTATATAGAATTTAATCTTGTTCGTTAACGGCCATTTGTAATGTCCTAAATTACGCTTATCAACAAGAAATATTATTTTGTATGAAATCAAGCGTAAGTGTCATTATATCGTAAGGAATAGCTATTCAATTACATTATTAAGCAAACATGTTTTGTATAATGGCCAAATACAAACCTTGACCTGGATATTATCCGTAAAATAAAAAAGCTGGTAGAGAAACTGCTCGTTTTAAATTGCCACCGCGGTATTTGGAGGCTAGAAAAGACGTGACAGGACAGAGGCGTGACATTGGCCTTCAAGTCGGATAGAAATAAAAACAATAAGTATTAATTCGAACAAAATATTAAACTCTACAGACAGGTTCAGGTTCAAGAAATATATACCAGTGCATGAATACATTATAGTAATTGGTCGATACCTTGTTTTTTTTTATGCGATGCTAAATAAGTATGTTTTCCGAGAATTCGATTTAGTTTTATACTGGAAAACGAAATAAAATGACGGACATTATGATATATAGACACTTTGATGAAGGGAAAAGTCACTTTACCGAACAAGAGCGGGCGACCCCAGCATAGTAGCCCGCCGCTTACACATCGGTACTGTTTGACAACTGATAATTTGCAACAATAAATTAATTTATGGTGAAGTTAAATCTAGCAAAGTCTGCGCAAATAAATCCGGTTTGAAAACGAACTTAATTTCAACTACAACATGTTGAAATTTACGCTGCCGCTCGAGGTGTCTAAAATGATAGTACAGGGCCATTATATTTTACTACGCGCTGTTGTACTTTGATTTTGTTTTCTCGAAAAACTACGTGAAAATAACGCTGATATAATATAATACCGATAACCAACAATGATGACGGGCATACCATGAGATACGCTTCAGATATGTATTCGCCTATGGCTAGTGCATATATACCCGTCTTCTATGGGGGTACTGGCTTAAGTATCATTTATTCAAGAATTTTCTCTTTTTATTTCTCAATCTTTACATTTGACATTCAGTGAAAATTTTGAATACACATGATAAGCAACAATTGAAAACACTCCTTAGTAACTGTACAACTTCTGTGACTATTCAGATTATATACCCATGACTTTTTTTGCTGTCATTAACAAAAAAATTGTAAACATTTTCACGTTGAGAAGAAAGGAATTTGCACACTCATTACGCTTTAAAGCACCACAGTCCCCGCGCTGCGTCGCGTTCAATTTGCGTCTTTGGCGACGTATACAACGCGTGTAATATACATCACTTGTTTACACAAAATTAGCGTGACGAGTGTGGCGCTTTAAACGTACACGTATTGGGGATATCAACGACTTCGAGTTCTATAGCTCCTTAACACCTTTAGAAAGTTCACTGGCGTACGTTGGAATCAAGGAAGGCATCAATCGGTCAATCAGTGACTTTGGTGACAGATGTAGTTCGAATTGGAGCATGTCAATTAACCGTGTCTTGTTAGGGTCCCTGTAAGATAAAGGAGTTCTTAATGTAACTAATGTTTTATCTGTGTGCGCACTTTTATGCATGACTTTGAAGCAAATCAGATCATAGTCTCTGATATTTCTTAAAAATATACTTTGAACCATTAATAGCACGTATGATATATTACTGTCCAAATATAATTTGGCCCGAGCGCAGGGCATGGTCATTTGCCCTGTCTTAGGAGGTCGAAATATTTTACTTTCACGAGAGCATTGATGGCCATACTTGGGTTGTGTATTACATGTCTCTCATACTATTTACGACAATCAGTTAACACAATCCAATCGAACTGCGATGCCTTGTCCTACGGCGTTCGCTGCTTCAGTATACTAACAAATTAGTCCCGAGGACTGTCAACAGTCTACGAACACAGTGGCTATGTTTAATACACTATTCATTGAACCACGAAATAACAGGTTGAATGTTGAATCGCCATCAAATGTGCGCAACACACCCCACTTTTCACCCACCAACCCCCAAAGCCCATCCACCCCTACATAGAAATGGTTCTCCTACCCGTCAACTTTATACAGCAAGGTACCAGATGGGTAGTTTCTAGCACGGACATACTTCTTAACAGGTGGGCATGCTGGGTGATCAACACTTACATCTGAATTGAAATGAACATTAGGCAATTATGTGTCATATGTGAAAGAATATGGATAAAAGAAGTGTTTTAACATGTCGATCCAGCATGTGCCACGCCACTTAGTGAAATAGATAAATACCATTTGTTAGTGTGTGGTATTTTCGCAAATCTGCAATCCACCATGCTTTCGTCATTTTGTACAATTTCTTTCCTCAGTCGATGTCTATATAATACGAAGATCAGTTATTGCTTCAAACATTGTAACAATTTGTACAATTTCTGACAAACATTTTCAATAAAAGATGAAATCTCATCTAGTATTATATAACATACCGTAGATTACATATATGTCTTTTGCTGGAATATGCCGAACACCAATTAAATCGCACGTGTCACGTGACGATATTAGACCAGCAAGGTAACTGGGCGTCACGGTGTAGAAGACTCCCATCTCCTACAAAAAATAAACAGTCAACAAAATAAGCATGCCATGTTCTACCCGTCAATGTAACCGACGTAAGTCAACACAATTGCATCATGATTAACATAAAGCCAAACTAAATCCCGTTTCTAAACGTCGGGACATACTTCTGTTCTTCCAAACACAAGTAAAAGATTATAAAATAACATACAATTTTGAAAAGATTTTTGTTCATTTTATACGTGATGTAAAAATTACCTCATCAATTTTCTCCACACTTGTGATCGTTTTAACTGAAGAATCCCACTTTAGATGTTTTTCTAAGTCCATGATGACGTCGACAACCTTCTCAACTGGTGCGTCTATTACATATTCACACTTGAACCTGAATTTAGAATTGGTTGATAATCAGCACATGAAGATGGTTAAGCATATCATGAAAAGAAATGCGATGCCCGTATACAGCATTTGTTTGCTAAGTCGGTGCGCAATGGGTACCCCTAATTTTCAAAACATCAACAGCTTTCTCACGTCCCGTAATGAATACTCACATTCGACCGTCAAAATCTTGAGATTGTTTGTAGGAAATCTTTATTTCTTTCTGAAAATACAAATGTACGCTGTTGAGCACTGACATTCGTATATATGCGATGTAAATTTGTTCATTTAACATTATATTCCCGGTGCAACTCACGTAAAATATAACAAAGTTTAAAAAACCGAGTAGTCGGATTGAGTTGCCTGTCTCAGCAACACACTAACTTGCAACTGTCCGTGTTAACATCGAATTTACTATATGCACACTTTGTGCACACTATTCATGGCTTTACTATTTCTTTCTTCTAAACATTCAGTATATGAGTGCATTGTCTGTTTATACAGTGACAGTGACACAAGAATGTGTATTCACTATTCATCTGTCCTTTGACTTGGTGTGAAGTATGTATTAGCGAATGTTTACACGGACAGATTCATTCATCGACTTTGATACACGCTACAGTTCACCTTGCCACTAATCAACTATTATAGGTGTGTCAATATCCACGTGGTGTCAGACAAACAACGGATGTCTAAGAGTTATTGTCACAAGACAATGAATCATTCTTACTGACCGTGCCCGTGCAGTATTGGCCGCTGTTTAATCAACTGTATTGACCACGGCAATACGTCATTTTGCTATAGGCGTGATTTTCAAAAATGGCATAATGGATGATACCATATATAGTCTAAAGCGGCAACGATGCGTTTTTTTCGTTTTTATTTTTTTTTTTTGGTGTCGTTCAAATTACAGTAAATCTTTCATACACATATTTGTTGACAGTCGGCTACAGATGAGAACAGCCGTTCGTGCAGCTATTTACGTCATAGAAGAGATTTGTCCCAGAAATAAACTAGTTAGCGTTTCAGACTGAGGGTTAGATGTCGGACGTCATTTGAACCTAGATATGACCAAACAGTGACCCCGTCACAATCACCAAATACTAATCTTAAACTTATCGGACGTAGTACGGAAAATAAAAATAGTTAAATATAACGATGTCTATTGTCCGGTAAGTAGGACAACAGTTGTAAACCATCAAATTATTACTGTCCTGACATTTATAAATGTTTAGAGAAACGTATGAATTATCGGTTATGTGTTGTCTTATCAAATAAATACAACAGTTGTTACATTGCAGAGAAGCAAAGGACCTCGCTCTCTAGTAAGAGGTTTTGGTTAACAACATTTATAGATACATGGTTTAGAAAAGTTCGTGTGCATACGCGTAAGTCCATTAACCTTTTCCAGCAATGTATTGTTCTTTTTTTCAAATGGACAATTCCTGCATTTGCTAATTTAATTCACAGCTTTTAAAGGTGATTAAAAATGCTGCCACTGCACATGACTATGTGCACAGTATGGACCATACCTTCAGAACGACGTACTATGCTTACCGTTTCTTTGGATTTAATCCAGTCTGTAGCCTTTTCAAAATCAAAGAGTTTTTCAATAACGCCATCGGCGATTGCTTTGTAGTCGGTCATGACTGCTAGCTATTAACGCTACTGGGTGGGTGTGAGGCTGGATGCTGAATGAGGTGGTTGTGTCTCTGCAATCTGTAAATATAACTTGCACATGAACTTATTTTTATCGATTTGTCAGGTGATTGATAGCGTATCTCCGAGCGGTCATATTATTTAGCGCTAACCCGTCTTATTGAACATTATGTTAGTTCACGTGTTCGTGTGTAATACGAATAACAAGAAGACATAGTAGTGGTTAAAATTTGATTTTGTGAAAACCTTCAGAAATTCAGCCCCAAATCTTGTTTTTTCGCACACACTTACCACAAAACGAGATTAGTATCAAAAGATAAACAGTCTTTTTTGTTTAGACGTGTATGATAATTATATAAATTATTAGTATTCGTGTATTCAGTATTCCCTAGCAACAGATTGTCGACATTATCATGAGAAGTATTCATTATTTGGCGTACCAATGTTTGCTCCTACTATATGCATACATTATGTAAACATAGCACTTATTCCAACATCAGCTGATTCGTGCATTATTTCTCTTTCACACTGTAAACAGTTCATTGATTTTTAACCCAGATATAGCCAAAAAACGACCTCGTGAAACTCACCAAATACAAGTTTTAAATTTGTCGAGCGAAGTACGGTAAAATATGTTTATTGGTTCCGATTTACGTAACATTTAAACATCTCTGGTTAATAAATGTTGACACTAAATATCTATTGCACATGTTGGTGAAGATCATGGTAACCAAGTCTTTCTGCTTTTGAAGTTAATAAAACTTACTAGACTTTTTCTATTCAGGCATTAAAACCACACGCTATATGGCCGATGTACATCGGATGTACACAGTGTCGTAAAAATACAGCCAGCTACAGTGAATCAAATCAATAATGTGTCAGTAAATAAACAGTTGCTGAAATTGAACAATTCATAGCAATGATGGGATATTTTAATTGAATTGATTCCTAAGAGGGGTATTACAAAATATTCATTTTACTTCTCTAATTGAATAGTTGAACTTCATTTTATCTCCATCAGATAATCCCTTGTATGTTCCCTCTGCCTAATAAATGTGAATGTATGCCCCTTCCGCATATTTCTTTCGCCCCGGAGGCGTTGGCATAAATATATCCTTTCAGAATCTTTAAGCTATTATATTAGATATTGGAAATGTTTAATAATTCGAAACTTGTTGCTTTTTGTGTCTTGAGTATTCACACTACAGTATATGGGTCTTTTATTAAGACTAACGAACCCAAAACACGTTCCTATCGGTTGTGTAAATTGTGATGACGTCTGTCGTCCAAAGTTTGTACTAAGAGAGAGTTGTGTGCGCCTAGAAAGGGTGTAACTACAAACCAAAAAATACTCCGAGCCCCAAATCTTGTGACCTGGAAATCCTATGCTCTTCACTATGCACTTTGAGACCCTGTGTGGCTTAATGTTCCTGATGATCTCTATCATATGCCATTGATAGCCCTCCGGTTTCCCAAACGACCCCCACGCAATGTGCCTTCAGCGGACCCCTGCGCACCCCTGCGCACCCCAAAACAGTCCGTCCCTACTTTGATCACATGATACGTTTAACATTCATTTGTCGACAATGGTTTAAGTACACCCCGGCTAAGTGTGTGAAAAAAAATGCCATCACCGGACACAACATAAGAAGTAAATGCATTTCGTTCACCATGTGTGCTGATCTGAAGACGCACAGATTTGAGTACATTGTCATTCCAGCAGATTCCAGTATGACCACATCTGATTCATTCAAATTATTTGATTCCATCATTGTGCCAATCTCATTATATGGTAGTGAAATCTGGGGTTATGAGAACGCTCCTCAAATTGAACAAGTTCAGAATCAATTTTGTAAATTTCTACTCGGTGTAAGTAATAACTCAAGAGAATTATCAGCTGTTGGCAAATGTCGATTTCCTCTATGTTATTTACTTTAAAAGATGCATTAGTT